TAGGCTCCCTATTTACCTCTCTTATTGTTTCTCTTGCTGAGAAAAAACTTTTCAGTTTAAGAAAGTCCCATTTGTTGATTCTTGTTATTAACTCTTGTTGTTGATGGACCTTTTATTTATATGTGGTGCTGAGAATCGAACCCAGTGCCTCACACATGCTAGGCAAGTGCTCTACCGCTGAGCCATGACACCAGCCCCTCTGGTGAACTCTTGACATCCATCCCCAGCAGTCCCAGCCTCTCAGGGCAGAGGGTGCCTGTTCATTTTTGCATCTCCAAGGCCTGGCACATGGTGGGTGCTCTACAAATGTACTTAGGGTTGTCTTACCCAGCAAGCTTCACTTTTCTTCTTTTTGTCCTTGTTTGAGGTGAATGGCAAATTACTGACACAAATCTTACAGAGAAAAGAATACATTGTCAACCCTTAGCATTGTCATTCCAAATATGTCAGAGGGAGTGGCACCCGAAACCTTATCTAATACAGAAAGAAACCAATTAAATAGACAAGTTAACAGAGACAAAAGAGTCTAGAGCAAAACCTGGATTCCTAGACCAGAAAACGATGTTTAATCAAGATCCCAAAGGCAAGAGAAAAAGACACATTTAGAAGGAAATAACTCTATTTTGGACATACTGGATTTTGTTTAATTGCTAGACAGCCAAGAAGAAATGTCGAGTAGGCAGTTGGAAGTTGGGGAAAGAACCAAGTTGGAGATAGACCTGTGCCTAGCTCTCCAGCCTCATCTTGCACTACTCCTTCACAGATTGTTTAATTTTTAACATGATACCTTTGCTAAAAATATAACAAAGGTATCATGGGGGACCAGTTCTAGGATCTGCCACACTTCTCAAAATCCACAGATGCTCAATACTATATATAAAAGGGTGTGGTATTCAAATATAACCAAAGCATTCTCCTGTATATTTTAAAGCACCTCTAGAGTATTTATTATACCTACTACAATGTAAGTACTTTATATGGGACTTGAGGGTATAGCTCAATGGTAGAGCACTAACCTGGCATGTGCTGGATTTGATTCCTAGTACCATCAAAAAGAAAAAAAGTAAGGTATGTGTTATAATGTATGTATTATTTAAGAATTAATAACAAGAAAAGAAATCTGTATGTCTTCAGTACAGACATAATTTTTCCCAAATATTTTCAAAATGTGGTTGGTTGAATTTATAGATATAGAACCTGCAGATATAAGACCAATTATCTAATATACAATCAATATGTACCACGTAGCTACCAGGTGGCTTAAGAAATAAAAATTAACAACATCAATATACCTCTCTTGCATTCTCCCCAATCTCTGAGCCCTCTTGAGAGGTAACTACTTTCCAGAACTTGATATTTATTATTCTCATCCATTTTTATTACCATGAGTATCCCTAAGCAAATATCATTGCTTTTGTTTGTTGTTAAATTTTATATAAATGGCATTATGCTGTATATGTATACTTCTGCAACTTGCTATTTTGATCAACATTGTTTGAGAGTATCATCCCTCCCTTTTCACTACTATGTAATATTCCACTGTACAAATATATCATATTTTATTCATTCTCCCAGTATTAGATTTTTAGATTGTTTTCCAATTTTTTATTGTTCTTGTGAACAAGGCCTCTACAAACATTCTAGTTTATGTCTCCTGATTTACATATCTATCTTTCTAGTTTTTAACAAACCTGTACAAATGGATTACAGATATACTTAAAATGTAATCTCCCCAG